TGCCAATGAAATAAACCAATTTTACAAGATAAAACTGCTTAAAACAAGTAAAAATGTTTAGAAATAAGTTAAATAATCCCACAATATTCTTACAACAGTCTCTTAATGAGAAATAGTAGATTTATTGACTACATTTAAGATGTTTACACTCACTAAGATATCATTTTTTTGCAGTGTGCTGTGCATCAAAACCTCGCAGGAGTGCAAAAGTAGCTCTGGCTGGAGCTCTGTGAAACCAGAATACTGCTTCCCGTAGTGATTAGATACGCAGGTACATCACCAGGACAATAGAACAGAATTTCATGCCTCAGATCGTTGATCACGCTTGAAGAAAGTTTAACTTCAAATGAACACGTCACTCTATGTAGAAAGAATATTTATTTGAAAGTGTATTAACAAGACTTATTACATTTAGATAATATGATGTAATACACACTCACCATCCACTGTATAAGACCTCCAACAGAACCGCACTGTATCACCACTGGAACTTCTCTACAGACGAGTAAACCCCACATCTATTTACAGATTTAGGCAGGTAAAAACGCACCACTGCAAGATTTGAAGTGGTTTTGCTGAGGTTTCAAAAGCTGTGTCCATTTTAGGAGATGATTGATGACCCACTGTCTGTGCAACCTGTATAACCCCGTTCCTCTGTCTCTGGGAGACTGGACAGCGTGTGGACGGAGATTTCAGTTTCTCCCAGCTGAATCAAAAGTGTTTTTCATGGTAGCAATGTCCAGCTGTATAGTCTACTGCTCAGACAGCTGTGCTGGACCGGTCAGACTTAAAACATAAACACAGGGACGCGCTAGGCCTGGGTGATTGAGTGAATTTCAGTGAGGGTCACCCAGTGACAAGGCTTCAGAGGTGATAAACGCTGTGTTGAAAAAGAAAACTGATAGAGAGGAAAAATAAATTGTAAACACTTTTAAATGCTTTACAGACTGAAATAAAACCATAAAACCACATTCACCTGGTTTACCTGGAAGATGCTGAAAAAAGCTGAGCTGAACCTGATATTGGAACAGTATCTGTAATGAAAATGGGGACTTTTTTGTAAGGTGTTGCCAATATTAAAGCACATTTAATACAATATTCAAGGCATCTTCATTCTTATTTTGCAGAATTGTGGTATAAAAGCAATAGAATGCTGGAGGTTTTTATTCAGGATAATGCACTCCCTCTCATGTTATATTGCTTTTATGTGGTATTTAATGTTTTATTCATTTACATACTTTTAAAAAATGGATTATTACAGAGCATTAAGAAGCCATGAGGCTAACTGGTCTAGCAATTTGTTTTGCTAATTCCAAAAAATGAAACTCTGGCATGTTGAATAGTGATGCAGCCTCCCACTGCATAATTTGATCGTTAGCATTATTTTTCATTTTAATTATTGTTTTATTGTTGTTTCATCTGGTATTCTGTTGCGCACTGTAGAGCACTTTGTAACCTTGTTTTGAAAAGAGCTATATAAATAAAGATTATTATTAGGGTGAATTATTAGCATAGTAGATTTCCCCGCTGTCTCGGCTTCAGGTTTCCCAGAATGTGACATATCGTCTAAGTAAAATTGTAAGCATTTTCCATACATCTGAAGTGTCCCAATGGTTCAACCCTGAGCTTCAATATTCTGAAATATATTACTTCACCATTTCCCACAGGCATCTGCAGCTGAATTAGAGTACCTCAGCTATAATGATGGAAAACGGCTTATTTTGTTTAGATCTAAAGCACAGGGACGTAGATTTGGAACCGATGCACTCACAGTCTGTAATTTCTCCAGCAGGGGGCGCTATTAGCATGTCACTTTTGTGTGTGAAGCTTTAAAGGGAAGAAACAGCAATGAACCCACATAGCAGGAGCTCATGAACTTGCGTTTGCAGCTTTCAAAATGAGAGGTGAAATATTCTATTTACAGAATTGTATTATTTCATAGGTGATTTCCATTAAGATGTATCAAATCAATTAACACTTAAAATGTATATATAAGTATAGAAGTATATAGCATAAAAAGTCGGTCTAAAGCCACTTTTCCACTCCGTGGTACCGGCTCAACTCTACTCGACTTGCTTTTGGTGCCAGCTACTGGTTTTTCACTGCAGATATAGCGCCCCCTCAATGTAGCCAGTCGTCATAGCAACGCCAAATGAAGCTACCATGACGTGAAGGAGACAAGTTTTGTTCAGAAGGGGCTGACAAAGTTTGGGAAAAACTACATCAGAGTTCAGACGACGAGATGATTCTGGTGCTCAAAAGTGACGCAAGAGGCTACGCTAACCTGGTAGCTAACATTATCATGTGTTTAGGGTGATATTGATGATTCTCTCTGACCAATCAGCACTCTGCAGTTTTTCCACATCATCTTTTGGTATTGGCTCAGTTTGCTTGGAACCTTGATGGAGGTGATACTAAAAATAGTACCAGGTACCAGATTTGCCTAAAGGAGAACCAAAAGAGTCGAGACGAGTCTGTATCACGCAGTGGAAAAGTGGCTTAAGTAGCAAACCATGTGTGTCTTCTGTGGGCTGGGAGGGGGGGATAAAACAGATATTCACAATTTTTTAGAAGAAAATGTCATGCTAATTATTTTTCAACATCACCCAGGCCTAACACACACACAGACACAGGCACTGACGGAAATGCACAGCCACTAAGATCTAATTCACACATACTGCATCTGTGCAGCATGAGCGCTACAGCTGGAACGTGCTGCCCTTTCATACATACAGCATTTGAGCTGCAGAGCAGAAAAGTGAGAATATCATTATATAATTATACAGACATTCCTGTTTCCAGACAGATAAATGTTCACATCAGTCACTCTGATCAACAAATATACCATTTATAAAAGTGCGCGACATGTTTGTTTATCCTCGACAGCATTCTAACTTGTGATTAGGCCAAAGTTTAAAGCCTGCTAGACCAACCAGGAAATCTGTTTGCAGCGCAGAATAACTAGTATATTTTCATGAATTGAATTAAATTAAATTCTGTTTAATTTTCATTGATTTTAATGGCTTATTTCAGTGTATTTTGCTGTGTGATGCACACAGCACACGAAAAAAATGGGCGCATAGCCTATTTTCTAAATACCGTGCAGTTTCAGTGCATTTAACTTTTCGCATTGCTCACCGCACACAGACGCAGTATATGTGAATAAGGCCTAACTGTGGTACCGCCATCGCCTGTCATTCTGACTACGAATGTAGACAGTCTCACCTAACAGTACTTCATACTGTCTATATTTGTACCCTTGTTCTTTGTTTTCTAGAAATTTCTCCTGCTTGTTAAACTTTCTCTGCTGACGTATCACTTTTTGACCATGATTATGCCTTAGGATGGTCCGGTCGGCTGGTACCAGGGACAATGCCCTGGATATTGACTATGATTACTGTATTAAGAAAAAAAATGGATGGATTGGAGTGTCCAGCATGACTGTGTTGGAAGGCCCACAGCTCTGCTTTTCATTCTGCTGGCTCTCCATGTGAAAGCTGCCCTGAGTAGCTATGAACCTCCTTTATTCTCACTTAGAGCTCATTGTGTGTTTAGCCAATTCCTAGCTTTGTTGCTGGTTTAACCCTAGTCTCACGGTTAAGCCTTGTTCTTTGATTACTATGACCTTGGGCGTCCTAAGACTTGTTTGGGTATGGCTGGGTAAGCCCCGCCTGCCTGTACCTTGACCCATGTAATGGATATATATCACGATTATAAGTGTTAAACAGGGATCATTTTGGAAATCCAGCATCTCTGTCCCTCTGTCCGGCTCTGTTTCTCTTTCTCCAGGCTCCTTTGGCGTTCCAGTTGCCTTGCTAGGAGATCTCTGAGCTCACCTGGAGCTCCATATTTGATTAGTCTTGCAGTTCCTAGCACTGTCCTTGTGTTTAAACCTATTCCCTTGTTTGGTTTCTTGGGCGTTGCCTTCCTCTGTCTTATTTTACAACTTGACCATAATTACTAGATAAATCTCAATAAACAGTCCTTGCACTTCACTTGCTCCTACTACCCTTGCCTTACATGTAACAGACACAGACTCTCATCATCTCCTGTTGACATCTTTGGCTGCCACGGTGGATGGACTGGAATGTCCAGTGGGGACTGAAAAACTCACGGCTGTCTCTCTTTCTCTAGGCTCATCTGGAGCTCTGTTCTCCATTCCAGGGCAGTCTTAAGCAGCTATGAACCTCCTTTACTATCACCTGGAGCTCACTGTGTGTCTATCCTGGCAATTTCCAGGCTTTGTTGCTGGTTTAACTCTAGTCTCTTGCTTAAGCAATTTCGCTTTGTTTCCTGGTGTTTTCCAGGACCTTGGCTTGCCAATGTCTCAATTTACTGTCTTGTATGCTACAGAGACGTTCAATACTGCCTTTGGCTGCTGCGTTGGAAGGGTAAGAGTGTCTAGGGATGGAGTTAGAGGCTCCTGGCTTTATCTGCAGGTCTGCTCTCCTGGCCAGAGCAGCCCAGAGCTGTTTCTCCAGGTTGTTGACCTTGTCTGTTTGTTGTTTGTCGACTTTGCAGATGTCTAGGTTAGCCCTATCTGCTTGTGCCTTGAACCTAGCTATGAATGGACACCATGATCTGGATGAACCTCAGTAAACAGACCTGCACGCAACCTATTTCACTGCCTAGTACACTATTTGTATCGAGGCAGCTGCTCATCTTACATTTCTTCCAAAATCAAGGGTATTAACAGGGTATTGGTCTCCACTATACTGCAGTAACAGCCTCGCTTCTTCTGAGAAGGCTTCCCACCAGCTTTGCAATCCCTAGCCTGGTCCCATGTTTAAGCCTGGTTTGTTTAGCCTTACTCTTTGCTTGCTGGCTACTCCTTAATTTGTCCAGGTTGTTAACCACTTCAGATATGCACAGGATAGCCCTGTCTTTCTGTGCCTTCATCCATGCTAATGCTAATGACCATGATGAACCTCCATAAACAGACTTTGCACTTCACTTGCGCTCCATTACTCTGCCTTGTATGATGCAGATACAAACTCTCATCATCTCCTCTTGTTGATGTCTTTGGCTGCCACATTGGAGGCAGTGGACGAGTTAGAGAGTCCAGCAGGGATGGTGTTTGAAATCCCCCGGTTCTGACCCTCTGTCCTGCTCTGTCTCTCTTTCTCCAGAGTCCTCTGGAGCTCTGCTCTCCTGGCCAGGGCGGCCCTGAGCTGGCCACGAAACTCCTCGATCCTCACCTGGAGCTCTTGGAGCTCTAGCTCCCAAGGAGAGGAGGGGCGTCCAGAGGCTCCAGATGGTGGGGAGAGAACCAGGCTGAGTCCGGGAGTGGGACCACCGTTGGCACACAGCTGGGTCGGGGGGCTGCCCACCAAACCCCTCCTGCCCTGGTCCAGCCGGTAACTGTTTAGGGTCTCCAGGTTGAAGTGGACACGCTTATGGTTGGCATCCTTAAGCTCAGCCTTGGTGCTCTCGTTGTTCCACCTCGGAGCAGAGCTGTAGTTGCTGGAGGTGGAGATGGAGGGCACAGCAGTGCGAACGCGGTGGAGGTTACAGTTTTCTGACAGACACAAAGAGGGGCTGGAGGGAAAGAAAAGCTCTAATTACCTGCTGAAATACATTTCTGGAACTGTATTAAAAGGGAATTCCAGCATTGTGTCAAAAGTTCCGCTTAATAAAATGCTCAAGATGCCGTAATGATTGGAACCAAGAGTTTAATGCATCTTAGAGAAAGTTATTGCATGAAATGGTTATGAACACGCTGCCTGATGTCTGAGACACTGTTTAATGATTGTTTTATTAAGATTTTTGCCTAAAACATACTTTTAAATCCATTTATGGTGAAGGAGGTACATACAGGGCAAAAAAGTTTTCTTATTATTTCAGATTTTCAACTATTTTCCCATCATCAACATTATATATGAAACTCAGAAGACTCGTGTAGGTTCACTGGTGGCTTTGGATAGTAAATAAAATGTCTATATCTGTGTTGTAGTCATGGCGACCCCTGGTTCCCTATCACCACCACTGTAAAGACATCTGAACCATTTCACACCAAACTGCTCTGAATCACTCTGTTTACATGTTAACAGAAATTGAATTTAGAAATAATGATAAATTAGTAGAATTCTTTTTTTATGCTACCCAAAAATAAATATTCTATATAAAAAATTCTATATTCTACAGCAAAGCAGCCCAGCCCAACAAGGCAGCCCAGCCCAACACATTCTTCATTGTTTTGATTAGGTGGATCAAGTATGTTGGATTAGGGCTGGAAATCGACACTGGATACAGGATGAGTACATTTTCAGGAGCAGGGCTGTGGAAAAGTGCAGTTTCTGAATGTTCAATTTAAACAGTTTAGTGTTTATATATAGAAGAAGGGATATTTTGTGATTTAAGTCTGATGAAAAGTTGTTTGTACACATAATTACCAGATTTTCTACACAATATATGCTTTTTTAATAACAATTACAGCTCATAAATGAGAGAGGCAGACCTCTGTGTGAAGTGTTAAATTGTACAGTGAGGTATATTAGTGTGTTTGGTCACCTTCTGTCTGTAATAGCTGCCTCTGCTTTACTGTCCTCATCACACACCATGTTTAAGGCCCGATGGATCTTCTGCAATCACAACAGCACAAACAGTGAAATGTGTTAGATGTGTTCTACAGTAATGACAGCACAGTGTGAATCAGCTCCACCATGCAGTAACCTGTGCTCACACCCCTTTACCACTAGAGGGGGCACAAGCTCCATGTTTTATATGGGAAGCATGATCGTTATCAAGATTTGGTGAAATAAGTGTAGAAAGCTTGACCATATAAACAAAACAAAGACAATGATCAACAAATCGTTTAAACAATAGAATGGAACAGAATGTAAAACAGCGGAACAGAACAGAAGAGAACAGAAGAGAACAGAACAAAAGAGTACAGAACAGAAGAGCAGATAACAGGAGAATACAGAACAGGAGAATACAGAACAGGAGGATACAGAACAGGAGGATACAGAACAGGAGAATACAGAACAGGAGGATACAGAACAGAAGAATACAGAACAGGAGGATACAGAACAGAAGAATACAGAACAGGAGAATACAGAACAGGAGGATACAGAACAGAAGAATACAGAACAGGAGGATACAGAACAGGAGAATACAGAACAAGAGAATACAGAACAAGAGATTGGAACAGAAGAGTGCAGAACAGAACAATACAGAAAAGTACAAATACAGAAGAGTACAGTACAGAAGAGTATAGAAGAGTACAGTACAGAAGAGTATAGAAGAGTACAGTAGAGTAGAGTATAGAAGAGTACAGTACAGAAGAGTATAGAAGAGTACAGTAGAGTAGAGTATAGAAGAGTACAGTACAGTAGAGTATAGAAGAGTACAGTAGAGTAGAGTATAGAAGAGTACAGTAGAGTAGAGTATAGAAGAGTACAGTACAGAAGAGTATAGAAGAGTACAGTACAGAAGAGTATAGAAGAGTACAGTAGAGTAGAGTATAGAAGAGTACAGTACAGTAGAGTATAGAAGAGTACAGTACAGAAGAGTATAGAAGAGTACAGTAGAGTAGAGTATAGAAGAGTACAGTACAGTAGAGTATAGAAGAGTACAGTACAGAGAGTATAGAAGAGTACAGTAGAGTAGAGTATAGAAGAGTACAGTACAGTAGAGTATAGAAGAGTACAGTAGAGTAGAGTATAGAAGAGTACAGTACAGTAAAGTATAGAAGAGTACAGTACAGAAGAGTATAGAAGAGTACAGTACAGAACAAAAAAGGGCCCAGTTTCCCAAAAACATCATAGTATTGAAATAATCTTATCTGATAGAGAAAGTGCTCCATGTGATGCTCGCTCTACCATTGTAGGATTATCTTTATGCTAAAATGTTTTCAGGAAAGCCTGAACAAAAAAAATATAGAATAAAATGGAACAGAACAGAGCAGAACAGAACTGAGCAGAACAGAGCAGAACAGAACAGAACAGACCTGAGCAGAACAGAACAGAACACTAGCCCTGTAGCTCCAGAGCTAAAACTAAAGAAGCAGACAGAAGACACTGATCATGTCCTGCTGTGACAATTTGCTGAACTATACTAAAAGCCGACAGAGGAAGCTGTGTCTCACCTGGCTGGTGTGGAGCCAGTACCTGAGCCTGTGCTGGTGGCGCAGGTGAGGCAGTATGAAGCGGTAGAAGGCGTGTTCACCCAGCAGGGAGAGTAACGCCCCGGCCACGCCCACACACAGCAGCACGAACAGCCCGGAGAAATGCTGGATACCCATCTGCAGAGTCTACACACACAGACGCACGTTAGATCAAACGTCTACATTCATGAACATCCATTTCATTTGCCCGTTGTCTGCATCATGAATCAGCAACAGGTTTCATCTTTCACACTGCCACTCCAGTTGGGTGGGTTAAAGGTCAGAAAACGCACTGCCTGTGGATTTAAGATGCACAAAATGAATATGTCTCATGATAATTATCTTCTCATAATAGTTAATAAAAATAAAAAAGACAGAGCCTATTGTTTATAATATCTTATTAGAAACAGTATGCCCCAATAAAGAAAAACTACAATAACAGCAGGCTGATTTCACACAATAAGCTTACAATACCAAGAACTACCAAACCACACCAAAAAACTACCAAACCTCACAGAGAATTACTGAACCATACCAAAAACTACCAAACCTCACAGAGAATTACAGATCCACACCAAAAAACTACCAAACCTCACAGAGAATTACAAATCCACACCAAAAAACTACCAAACCTCACAGAGAATTACTGAACCATACCAAAAACTACCAAACCTCACAGAGAATTACTGAACCATACCAAAAACCACCAAACCTCACAGAGAATTACAGATCCACACCAAAAAACTACCAAACCTCACAGAGAATTACAGATCCACACCAAAAAACTACCAAACCTCACAGAGAATTACTGAACCATACCAAAAACTACCAAACCTCACAGAGAATTACTGAACCATACCAAAAACCACCAAACCTCACAGAGAATTACAGATCCACACCAAAAAACTACCAAACCTCACAGAGAATTACAGATCCACACCAAAAAACTACCAAACCTCACAGAGAATTACAGATCCATACCCAAAAACTACCAAACCTCACAGAGAATTACCAAACCATACCAAAAACCACCAAACCATACCAAAAACTACAAAACCATAATGAAAACTACCAAGTCATACCAATAACAATGAAACCCTACAGAGAACTACCAAAAACCTACCCAAACTATACCAAAAAATTTCCAAGCCATACAGATAACTACCAAACCACACAGAGAACAACCAAACCATAACCAGAACTCAGTTAGATTCTAGGTTTCTGAGCAGAAGGTGGCGTAACCAGGCCTCTGTGTGGTGTTACCACATGACCCGCTGTGCTGAAACAGGTTACTGGAGAAAGCAGCTGCAGAAATCAGTTAAGAGAATCTTTTTCACAGCTCTTTTTAATGAAAATGGACACCGTGTGCTGGCGGCGCTGCTCTGCGATGCACTTTACATTTTTTTGAAAAGCAGCTCACGTTTGTCCGCCTCCACGCCCCCACGGTGCTACTGTCAATTAGCATTTGCTACAGAGAGCAGTCAGTTGATAGTATATTACACATATCATCACAGGCCTGTTACAGATCTGGGGTCTGTCTAATAAAGCAGGATTTCTTGCTAAGTCAGCTAACTCTAAGCATAGTTTGATCTAATCCCGGATTTGGTGGATCACTTTCCCGGGCCGCATCACCATGGCAACTTGTGCTGCATGTCTAACCTGCTTCAGTACAGATTAAGTTAAAGATTTCAGATCAATTTTTGGCAAATACTTTTGATCAGTAACTGACCATTAGTTGCTGATTAACAGCTAGTATGTATGTACACACCACACACACACACACACACACACACACACAGCTCTGAAATCTGATTGGCTGAGCTGTGTTCAAAGCCTTTGTAAAATCTATGATATATGCACATCAATGACCACAAAAAAAAAAAAACCTTGGGCTGTTAATGGAATAATCTTTGACTCTCATGCTGCTCACATGGAGCACCGAGTGAACTGATGGACTAGGAACCCGTTTTCTGTTGAAATCGAGGGGCTGACAGCTTATGTTCTTAACTAGAACTAGGCAGGTCAGCTAGCTAACAGGCTAAAAGATAGAAAACAGCCTAAACAGCTCCATCATTAATATCACAGGCTTGAATTAAAGGACTTGCGGTCTGATTCACTGTAAAACTACAGTATAAAAGTCTAAAAATGTCACCTGAATGTTTTACACACTTCAAATGTTCGTGTTTCAGTCAGAAGTCGTGTCAAACCCAGACTGAACCCCAAACGGCTCTGTACTCCCTAAATAGTGTTCTAGCTATGAAAGTTTAGAGATTCTAGCCTCTACAGCCAAACTGTGCATCATTGATCCAGTGTGGATGAGTCTGAGACCCAAATGACTGTTTCTTAGCTGTATTTCGCTCTGTTGGGCTGCAGCATCCAGTATTTAAACTCCTACGTAGTGCACTATGTAGGGAGCAGTTTAGAGATTCAGCCCCAGTGTGAGAAGAGGGCGCCGCTGGATTGGTCTTAAATAAGACTTGTGGTGGTGATTTGAGAACCAAAAAGTTCTTATAAAGTGAAAGTTTTTGCATTGAACAGTGCTGTGATATCATATGTTCACTGTTATATGAATAATAGTTAAAAAGTCAATGAAATGACCGCAGTGAACAGTGACCGAACATTCTCCTCATTCATCTGTACTCTAAAGGAACTACATTTCTTGGCGGAATACTTGTTTATGTCGATTGTTATTAATAATAATTTAAATTATTTACTGAACAAATGTGTATTTTATCATATTTTATGTTGGCCGCCGTTTTATAAAAGCAATAAGCCACTTGAGACCATGCGTTACAGTGATTGTATAACAGGGAAGGAGTTTTACGTCTTCCCTGTGATAACATCACTGTAATATACATACATACATACATACATACATACGTCATCTAAACCGCTTATCCACTGTAATATAATTTAAAATACATTAAAAATAATTTTTTAAACACTGCTTTAATATACGAGTTCTGTATTCGTGCACTGAGATATTAAAACATGTTGCTCATATGAAGAGTGGAACGTAGTATTAATAATCAGGAATCGGTGTGTTTATGAAGAAAACGTCCCGATGCTTTAAACCCACCGTAGGTAAGACCCCGGCGGTGTTTAATCGGAGGGGCTGACGGCGGCTCATTACTGTATTACAGAGAGAACTAAAGACGACGATGAAATGAGTGGAATATGTGCTGATGAGCTACTGAACGTTCTGCGTTCTAAAGTTCTACAGTTCTATTTATCTGTTTTACAGCCAGAGTTAAAGCGAACATAAACACCCTGAGCGGCGCTCTGGCTCAGTGGAGCTGGAGATCCTTTTTATGGCCTCCTCTCTTCTCTTCATCATCCCTTCTGCTTTTATTCCTCCATCTCCGCATTTAAAGCAGCTCATTTTAATATTTTATCCCTCAATTATTCATTTTTCTCCTTGCTTCATCCTTCTAACCTTCCTTTTCTCTCTTCCTCCTTTCTTTTTACTTCCATCCTTTGTTTCACCTTCCTTTTCTTTCTCTCTTCTTCTTTCTTTCCCTCCCTTCTCCCATCTTTCCTTTCTTTCCTTGTTATTTACTCTTTTCTTCTTTCCCTCCCTTCTCCCATCCTTCCTTTCTTTCCTTGTTATTCACTTTTTTTCTTCTTTTCTCCTTCCTTCCTTCCTCTTCATTAATCTTCTTTCTTTCTTTTTCATTCTTCTTTCTTTTTTGCTTTTCTGTCTTTCTTTCTTCCCCTTTCTTTTTCAGTCTCCCATTCTCTCTTTCTTCCCTTCTTCTCTTCTTTCCTTATCTCTTTCTTTCTTTTTTCTTCCCTTCTCCCATCCTTATTTACTTTTTTCCTTCTTTTTCCTTCCTTTCTCCCTCCTTCCTCTTCATTAATCTTTCTTTCTTTTGCTTTCTTTTTTCCCTCTTTGTTCCTTTCTTTCTCTCTCTCTTCCCCTTTCTTCTCTTTATTACTCTCTTTTCACTTTCTTCCATTCTCTTGCTTTTTCTCTCTTTCCCTTTTCTTTATTAATCTTTTCGTTCATTTTTCTTTCCTTCTTTTGCTTTTTTCTTTTTCTTTCCTCCATTTTCTTTTTTCTTTCTCTTTATTTCCTCTTTCTCTTTCTTTCTTCTCTTGCCCTTTCCTTTTCACTTTCTTCCGTTCCCCAAGGACCTTCTTTCTTTTTCTTTCTTTGTTTCACTATTTCTCTTTAGTTCTTTCTTTCTTCCATTCTCTCTTTCCTATTTTCTCTTTCTTTCCTTCTTTTTCTCCCCTCTTTCTTTCCTCCTTTATCTCCCTTCTTTCTTCCATTCTTCCCTTATCTCTTTTTCTTTCTTCCTTTTTCTTCTCTCTTTCTTTCCTTCTTTGTCATTTTTCCACTATTTCTCTTTCTTCCTTTCTCTGTTTCTCCTTCTTCCCTTTTTCTCCTTCTTTCGTTCTCTCTCTCTTTCTTTTTTCTTTCACTATTTTTCTAACTTCCTTTCTCCCCTTCTTCCCTTTTTCCTTCTCTCTTTATTTATCTCTTTCTCTCTTTTTCTCCTCTTATTTTATTACAGTTCAGTTCTGTGACTCATGGCTCAGAATGATGACCTTAATGTCAGTTTTATTGCTTTGCTGGGTCTGTATTTCCTCCAGGAAGTGCAGGTCTGGTTTAATGGGAAGCAGATAGTTGAATAATTGTTTATGTGTTGGTTAATGTTTACAGTACACAACAGTCGGAAACGTCCACACAGAGAGGGATGGTTTCAGGCAGCAACTAAATCAGGAATGTTCTGGTACTTTAGCCACTGTATCTTTGCTAAATGGGCTCTGAGCCCCCCGCAGCCCCTCCAGCACCATCTCACACTCACACACCCCTCAGGCATCATCTCCCAGCTGCCTGAACCTCACTGCCTATTTAGATGGTTTATCTGCAGGTGATTTTTCAGCCTGTCACTCTGGAGAGCGCCTGATTCTCAGCAGCGCTGTGATAAGCATCAGTGGATGATGGATGATTCCAGTATCAGCCAACAGGGGGCAGAGCGGCTCAGGGAACGGAGCTGTATGACCACAGAGTCAATATCCAGCAAGAACTTTCATTCCTGCTGACTACAGGCCAACGGCTGCGTCCAAATACTCCAGGAGTTACTGATTCTTCTCTTGATCCAGAAATTGATTTCAATCTTACAGACACCTGAGGAGAC